AAAATGGGATATTTTTCAGAATAGAGGTAAATATACTTTTTTGGATTGAGGAAAAGGCCCGAATTTCTGCATTGAAGCATTTAAGTCCAACAGCACAATTTTGCCTTTCAATGATTATTACAAATTATTTTTTACTTGTGGAATAAATTCTTTACTGAAACCATTATGGCCCCCATTTTCTGTAATGAGCCCTCGTAAGGTAAGTTCAAAATAAACCTATCAACATGATTTAGTTTATCTTATTTGAAAGTTACATTGCTGCTAAAAAGTAATTTAAGTAAAGTTATTGCTAATGCTCAAAGCAAATGAAGTTGCAACATATCTGGAATAAGTATTATACCCCCCCCCCCCCTTTTTTTTTCAAATAGGCAGTAACAACTTTTTATATGTGTTAAATAAATTGATTCTCAAGAATTTTAAAAGAAAATAGGTCTGTGACCTAACCTGACCAATAAATAAATATTTCCCCAAGTAATTAATACTTCATAACTAATATGAGATAGTACAAAAAAAGGAGCTTTGCTACATTTACAACAATTACACACATACCTGTATAATGAAAATCTTCTGTTGGCTATTCTGGTTCCCTGGCCCGGCTTGAACCAATCGTACCATCTGACCCGGTTGTACGACTGGCGGTCTTTGATGAACTATTTGAGTGCCAGCCATTCCTGACTGAACCATCTGTGATCCGTTTTGACCTATCTGTACTATTTGCTGGACAGACTGAGACCCAGGCTGAATTATTTGTGAACCTGTCTGAGGATTAGCCTGGGAACCAGACTGAGTCATTTGGTTTGCGGGTATATTGCTGGTTCCACTACTCATCTGAGGAAGTGATGTCACGACTTGGGAAGTCTGAAATGATGAAATACATTCAATAAGGAAATGAAACAGAAGTAAAGATAAACATTTTTAAGACAAATAAATTACTTGTGTTCAGGTAAAAAGATAATAAATTGTTCCACAATGTCAATCTTCTCTGTTTTTGAAAAATAGTATCTATTAAGTTGAATTTGTCTAAATCTTAAGAAAAATACCGTTTCATTAAAATGATACTGAAACTGTATTCCTTAAGCCAAAAACACTAAATTTTGTCTTCATATTTGAAAAAAAAGTTTGCTTACTATAGTAGACTGTGCCTGTTTTGGACTAGGCAGTGGCTGGGAGATCCCTTGTAGACCAGTTGGTGACTGAAACTGCTGTTGCTGTGGACTGGGTCTTGGAGATTGCTGTAACTGCTGAGATTTTAACATCTGAACCTTCTCCTGTAAGTCTAAGATCTTCTGCTGAGTCTGTGGTGTCTGGGGCATACTATACAACTGCTGTATCTGCTGGTTTAGACTCTGTATATCCATGCTAGTGTTCGAAGGGGAGGTAACTGAGCTACTCGGAGATACAACTTTCTTCACTGGACTACACTGACTTTGATTTTGTAAGTTGTTCGTATTTGTATTCACTGACACATGCATGTTAGAATTTGGTCCATTTGTCTGATTTACAGTCTGTGACTGTATCTGATTCATGTTCTGATTATTAAACTGACCGAAATTATGTTTGTCATTAAGTTCCGCATTAGGCTGGAACATGTTTGAATTATTCTGTTGTGACTGTGGATGATTAGGTGAAGGCTCCATAGAGTTGAAGCCGCCTTGATGCGATGAGGTAGATCCTGTAGGTGAGAGCATCCCGGATGTCAACGAAGGAGACTGTGGTGGTGGGGTTGGACGAGGGGAAAGCATTGGCACATTTGCTCTAGGCTGAGACATGGTATTCATGTTGTTCATATTATTAAATGGCAGTCGTTGCTGAACATTTGGCAGAGTTGGACTAGTCTGTGGAAATCTTAATATATTCTGCTGTTGTTGCTGAGGGGTATTTACGCAATTATCTGTCATGCTTTGTTGTTGCATCGGCTGTTGATACTGATACTGCTGCTGCTGTTGTTGCTGCTGAGGAAACTGCTGAGTGGTCTGTTGTTGATGTATATACTGCTGAGGCTGCTGCATTATCATAGGATCATTTGATATACTCGTCGGTGTATTAGCGTGTGGCATATTCATAGTGTTAAAATTCTGATTGCCATGAGAATACATCTGCTGGGACATTCCCATAGAGTTTGGTTGACTAGCATTCACAGTAGGCATTCTATTTACCTGTATACCAGGCGAGGACATTCTCTGCATATACAATGTCTGATTCTGTCCAGACTGGGCAGCAGAAAATGGAACCTGCATTCTAATTCCCTGTATAGTAGCCTTAGACTGGTGCTGTGGTATGTACTGCTGTTGAGGCTGTTGTTTCGACTGGGCTTGCTGCTGTTGAGGATTGAACATCTGCGTGTTCTGGTTCCATCCTTGCATCTGAGCCATCTTTATCTGCTGCTGTTGTGCTGGTTCGGCAGTCTCGGTCCCGGCTGAGCGGCAGCAGCATTGTACTGGTACATCACCTGTCCTTGACGCATCATACCAGAGGGAGGGCTTCCAAACTGATTTGTATGGGTTGGTGACATCATTGGATTTGGGTTTATGTGTCCCTGTTTTTGACTAGGTGTAGATACCATATTTGGGATTATAAACAGTCTGCTGGCTATTATACTGATTGAAATTTTGTTGATTAAAACTGTTGAGGGGCTTGCTGCTGAGTTTGCTGAAACTGCATACTGTTGTAACCAGCCCCTTGTTGCTGCTGCTGTTGCTGCATTCCACCTATATTATAGTTAGAGTGGGGATGACCAGCTTGCATCATGCCTTGTGGTACTTGACCAGAGTTTTGAGACATCATACCAGCCATTTGTTGTTGTTGAGGTACATTTGGGACTGACTCGTCTATAACATTAAACATAAAATTACATTTCATATGAAAGGTTTGACAAAATTTTACTAAATTCATGAAAATAACACATAACATAAAGCCACCCTGTAATAGATTTATAGAGAAAGAGTAAGAATTCATTTCCAAAACCTTTTTTCAATGCATAATCAATCATTATCTCACATTATTCCAAAGTAATGTAAATTATTGGTATAAATTTTTCACTTACTCGTCCCACTGGCTAACTCTTCCAGAAACCCAGGATCGGAATCAAACAAGCTGCCTAAATTGTCGGCCATTCTGTTATTACTTTCTGTCCTTCTCAAAGGCACAAAGCCATGCTTTCAGCATTAAAATACAGGACACAGCTATACAACTGTCCTGAAAAGAGCAAATAATAAAATTACTTTAACTTTTCAGACAGTACTGCAGAATTTAAGGAAATTCTACCTACAATACATTAACAATAACAATAAACATAATTAAATTTGTCTCTCACAAAATATATAACAACAATCAGTGATGATTTATTTATATTGATTTGTTAGAGTTTCAAGTGACACTGACAATGTAAAGGTGATAGGATGACATTCCAGCTTTTCTGGTGGAACTTCAGATGCCCATTTGTGCACTAATCAGGCTCTACACTGTTGGTAGCTAAATCTTTATATTGAAATCCCTTAAACTTTAAATGGACTGTTCCAAATTCAAAGCTCAGCAAATTCATTGCAGAAAATTCTGCTTTTTGAGGGTTAATGATTCAAAGTGAGTAACAACAGTGTGAGTTTTTCTTAATTCCATAAATTGCCTTATCCATAGTTTGTCATAAATTGCCTTATCCATAGTTTATCTCTTTGGACAATTTATTATAGCTTAGTTTTGGACACAATTCGTCAAGCTGACTTCCTTAAAGACAAAAGTAAAATAAACCTCATCTTTACATTAGGATGTTAAGGGAACAACACTTCAGAGTGGTTATTATCAATCACTTATAGTTCAAGAAAACAAATCACAATTCTATAAAATGCAATGCTTATTTTGAAATTCACAAATTTCATTATTACATGGTACCAAACGCATTCACAATTTAGGGGGGAAGAACACTGTGCAATAAAAGATCTTCTAACCTGTGATAATGTATAGTATTTTCAAAGAGAAATTATGTTAAGTTTGACCTACACTGAATTCAATGCTCATATCCATTACACTAACATGTAAATAACTTATAAATGACTTCAAGACACTATTTATTTTCAAAATTATTGTTACTATTAAACACCAACAACAATGTATGCATAAATTAAAATAAAAGAATGAAAATCTTTCCATATTCAAGAGCTTTCTATTTTGGTACAACAAGGAAGGCAAGTGATGAGTAAAGAAGTGCTATTATAAGCATTTTCACATGTTAATACTTTCTTTTTTAAACTAAGTATCACTAATAAGCTGATCATATGGCCTGCCTTGCAATGTACATTTGCCTCACCTATTACTATTTTTATTAAGTATGGGTGCATCTATGACATTCTATAGGATTTTTATTTCAAGACAACAATATTCATGTGAAGTTTCACCTTCTATTTTAGAAATTGCATATTTCAGGTCATTTAATTCTCAGGAATTGAAAATTTCACACATTTTCTCACATTGATCATCAGGCAGGTTAAACTTTGAAAACTCTATAAAATGTCTAAGAATGATGAGAATGAATACTCAAATACTATAGCTGGTACATATAATGTTAAAAAGAGCATGGTTTTTTTCTAACTATCTTGGGGAAAAGGCGGCTGGCATTTGACTTACATTAGGAAAAAATTTGAAAAATATGAGAAGTTGAAAAACTCCCTTTTTAGTTTTGCATGACCTTCAAGTTTTATTTATGAGTATGATCAGTTACTTCTTTTAAGAAACAAGTCAAAACATTTAATTTTTCTCCGAGAATGAAACAGTTTGATTTTTTTGGGAGCTGTTAAGAATAATTAAGTTTTTGGCTACAATGGCCAAAGTGAACAAAATGCCATGACAGGCAATTTCAATTCTGTTACAAATATTACTTTTGTAATGTATATAATATTATTTGAAAATACAGTTAAAGTTACATTAAATAAATTTCATAAAAAACTAAATAGCGACATTTCGTTAATAAATTGGGTTTTATATTGACTCCAGGTCTCATTTTGGTGTCCAAACAACCAAAATGAGTTTTATTAGCAAAAAAATAGGTAACCTCATTGTGGCGAAATGGGAAATACAATTTCTGTTTGCATGAGAAACTCCGCCTTCGGATCATCCGTAAATCAATATTAAATCAAAAATCATGACTATAAGTAGCAGTCCTAATTTAACGGTATATTTCCGCATTGTAACGGATGTTTTCATACAAATTTAATCTTTTTACGAGATTATTACTTTTACTGAACCCCAGGTTTAGTGCACCGTGAAGCTTAAACGGTTAAAGTGTGTTTGCACAAGAAAATATCACATTTGCTGTGTTCGGATAGCAACTATAAAACTGTGACGTAGCGCATACACGAGCTCATTATAGTCTTCATTTGCATGTTAAAATTCGTATACGAACTTTAGTGGTACCGTGGGGTTTCCCGTTTAAAATCCTTATTTATGAACAATATTTGATGAGATTTACAACAATACTATTAAACAGGTTAATCAGCATGCCCATTCACGCACTACAGTGCGTAATTCACGCACAAAATTCTAGATGCACGCATAAAAATTGTAAGCAGGGGGTACATGCACGCAAAGTAAAATCGTCAGAATGAATGTTTGGGATAGCCTATGTACGCTTGCCTGGGGACGCATCAAACGACCACAAATACACAAATATGTCAGCGCGTGTCAGTCTATAGGTAGGCGGTCCTATGCACATCGACCCATGAAGCGATTAGCCAATCAGCGATAACACTTTCAATCATTATCACGCAATAGAGATCAGACTAATGTATACACGCGCTGTACATGTAATTACCAGATATAACATGAGGTGATAATTTAACATCTTTGATCCACAGTTGATTGGGAATAAGCAAATTTTAACGACAAAATGATAAGAATATCGACTATTTACAGTACGCCGCAAGTTTAAAGACTGTTTTCTCAAATTACAAATGAGTGTAATTTTGAATTATTCTCGAAATTTTCGGCACTTTCTAAGCAAAATTTTGCTGTCGTTTCATTCTTGCAAAAACGTTCTATAAGAGTTTTAATAATTTAACATATTGTGCCGAAATGCCAGGACAACTAACCAAAATACACGTACGCTTTTCTTTGATCCGAAAATTGATCCCGAACATCCGCGATTTCACGTTCGCCGGAATTTCAGAATCCCTAAAATTTCGCAAAAATTCTCAGTTTCCAAGCCAAACATGAGAATGAATTGTTCCTTAATTATTAAATCAGCATTAAATCTTTAAATATCGATCTTCAATTTGCCCCCATTTTGAAGATATTTGCTAAAATATTTGTCGATCGGATGAACCTCTTAACACACTGTGTGAAGCTGTACACAATTTTCCTATTCATTCCGCTAAACGCTACCTATATACATTTACGTTTTTTTTACAAATATAAACTTTTTGTCTATAGAGTGGACTTATTTAACCAGAATAAAATTTGATTTGGTATTAAAGTGAAAAAAAAACAAAAACAAAAAAAAACCGATTTCCATGTGTTGATGCATTAAAATGAAATAATTTCATGAAAAATATTAACAAAACAAAACAATAATTATACTATATTATACTACATTTATATAAAATGTTCTTACAAACAAAAACATGTTTAAACTTATGTGTACCCCCAGATTTTGAAATGTACCCCCAATTTACAATGACAGGGGGTACATGTACCCCTACATTTAAAATTGAGTGGGCATGCTGGTTAATGAAACTGTAGAATGTTTGATTTTAGGTCGACGGCAAAATATTTTTACATATTTATTTAATGTAACTTTAATGATAATCAAATATAAAACAATTCACCCTTTAACCCATTACTTCATGAGCATTTTGTGAAAAATGGCTGTTTTCATTGAAAAGTCTCCCGTTACAAGTTCAAATTGCTATAAAACTATAAAAACTGCTTTAATACTAATCAAACTTGGCACAAATGTTGACTGGACCATTGCCTTTCAGGGGTGTGGAATTCCTATGTCCGACTTGTCCGACTCGGGCCTTTTTGCCAGCGGACAAGTCGATTTTTTCATTGGACTTGTCGGCGGGCAAGTGAATTTCAGAGCCATTTAAAAAAAAATTAAAAGCCAAATTTTGGTCACAGATTACTCTATATCATTTTATTTCATTCCAATATTGCATATCACCTTTACAAACTAGTTTAATTATATAACCCATTTTGTTTTGCTTTTTACCCCCTATGAAGCCTCTCAATAGACGTATGTGCTATAGGAACTCATTGGTTGTATTGCGGCAAAAAATATAAAGCACAGATGATTTCATTGCAAAGTTTATTTCTTTGCATACAAAAAAAAACTTAAACAAATTCTTTATTAGAATGAATAGTTCAAAGCCTGTAGAAACTCCCAAAGAGTCAAAAAACGAAGTCAGAGAGAGATACTAGAAATTAGTATGATTCGAAAGGAATACATTTATTTCAGGATAGCTAGTTTATTGTCTGGCTGCCAAAAGAAGGTAATTCAGACAATGTCTATGGTCAAACTTGCAGATAATGTTCAGTTAGTAAAATATAGCTGCTGAACTTACATAATCCGCACTGTTTTGGGGGGGCAAGTAAATTTGGGCTGCGGACAACTAGAAATTTCAATCCAACTTGTCCTCGGACAAGTGGAAAAATTCCAAAATTCCACACCCCTGCCTTTGTTATAACATGCTCAGGCTTTAATTTCCTGTTTCCATTGCAACGAGGGGACATCTCAAAATTGCCAAATATCACTATTTTGCGTTGATTTTTTCCATCAAAATTGATTTCAAAGTGCTGCAACTTCTCAATGGATTGAGATAGAGTCAAATGCTTTTCAGCGTTGGTTACACGTTACCTTAAGATCGATCTGGGGTCATTTTTAGCCTCTCACAAGTCCAAAATTTTCCTGGCGATGAGGGGGACTACCGCCCCCCCTTCAAACCCCCCAAACAGAAGGGGGCACATCCCCCTTCTGGCAACCCCCTGATGAATCTTTTGATTGGGGGGTTGCTACGAAAAAGTGGTTATTTTTTTAACAACATTTCTCAAACGAAAACATGTTTTTGGGGCCCAAACAGGACATTTTTTCACTATTTGAGGCCTTAAAGGGGGGGGGGGGGTCGAAAGTGCTTTGTTTCACGTATATATGAGGTAAAGGATTAAATATTACATTTTGATAGGAACAATGGTAACAGTTCACCCTTCAAAGATTACTTTTTGATAAGGAACAAT